AACATATTCAAAGATCATGAACAGTGCTCTTCACGGGAACTTTTAAAACTACGTTTTCCGAAGTAGAACTTACCTGAAATTGATGTCTACGTGATCGTGGAAGTTCCAGGAGTCCAAATGTGGTCTTACCTTGGACGTTTGTTTATGTTTTAGGTGGTTTTGGGTGAGGTTGAGCGTCGGAGAGGAAGAGAGAGAGAACTGAGAGTGAGAGAGAGTCGTGAGGGAAGAGAGAGAGACAGGGTACGGGAAAGAGGGAAAGAATTAAGGGGTGTGGGATCCTACCCAATCCCCAACTACAAAATTCTAACATAAATTTAAATCTAAGTCTCCACTCTACTTACCAAATTTTAGGAACTTAGATATAACGAACGTAAAAATTATACCTTAGTCACGTATTAGGGGCATTTTCGTAATTTCACGTCCTTGGAATTAAAAATTCCGGGACGGGCTGTGACATATATATTAAGAAGAGTAATGTTAAGGACACTAAATTTTAAATCAAATGATATGGTTGTAGATGATTAGATTAACGTTTAAGTGTCGATTAACGTTCTTATTTCCTATTGATGACACCTCATTTGGTTTAAAAATATGATTTGCTTAACATTATCCTATTAAGAATGCAATGTTACTTCACCAAACGAAGAGATTTTCTAGTGTGTCGATGGCAAAGTCTCGTACATTAAATGTAATAATATAATTAATCGAAAACTTGAAAAAAAAAATGTCTAACCAATTGTATTATAACATTTAGTGTTCAGACCATAGGTTTCAAGCAGTCTGAAAATTTTATCCACCAAATCAAGTGAATTCTTGGCTACTCTTTTGAATGGCCTTTGTTTGCTTGTTAATTGTTACTTGTACCAAGTCCATATAGTCTTTGAAATCATCATCCCACACATGTGAATATAATATCACATAGACTTTACATTAAAAATATAAAAAAAAAACCAAGCTGTCTGGTGTGGTCCCTCCTCGTACACACACACACTTCACCAACCCACATCACAAATTTTATACTCATTATTTTCTGCATTTAAAAATCACGTTCACACTATGTGAAACCCTCTGACTATTCCAAGCCATCCCATGATTCCCACCCAAGAATTCCCAATGTGTATAAATGTATGCAGCCCACCAAGTTTCCTCCTCCCTCAAAATCTTCCCCTTCTCTGAAAATTTGAACTTTATCATCCTTCTCTGGTTTTTAGCTCTGTATTTTTTTATGGCTTCAGTTGCTCCAGTACAATTCAAATCCATGGTAGCTGATTACTGCCGAGAGAGGCCAGTGATGAGGCTGCCTCCGCCAAGAGGTCAGATTAAAGCCAAGATTTTCAGAACGTTGGGCTCAAAAGTAAAAGCTGCAGCAGCATCGGTGGTGAAAATACTGGGAATAAAGAAAGGAGGATGCTTTGGAAGCATGCTTTGGAAGCTGAGCCTGCACTTTCATAGGAAGAGAGGCTTACCTACACCGTCATGACATTACAGATCAATAATACAATGTTATGTAGGAACGTTACAACATTTAGAATTACATTATTAGTCTGAGATGTATATGCGACGTATTAAGGTGTAGGTAAGTTTTTCTCTTCCATAGGGGGAATAGAGATAGCCACATTTCAAGTTTGAAATAAATTTTGAATTGGTGCAGTTTTGATTGGTTTTTCTTCCTATATATATACAGATAGAGGTTTGAAATAAAAAAGACAGGTAGGGTCATGCCAGTAGACTCCCATGGCATTTTAGCTGAAGTGGGTAGTTGGTTATTTAGGAAATTACTATATTTATGTACAAGTTTTTAGGTCTTTTATGGAAATGTATTTCATGTTTTTTTTGGGGGGGATTTTTTAGAGGAGAAAATAGTTTATCTATTCTGCAAATTTTAGCGGAAAAAAAAGTATGGGAGACTTACTTGTCCTTCTAATTAATGAACTTTTACAGTTCGAACATCTTAACTAAAATTGTTTATTCTTTTTACTGTTTGAGGATTATATTTGCAAAAGAAAACATTCGATTTAAAAACGATATGCATAAAATAAATGGACGATAAACGTTATGCTTAAGTAAATACAAGTTGTTTTGTTTTATAAAAGGTATTATCAGGGACCTTGTAAATTTGTAGTACATATGAAACTCAAAGAATATATGTATTCTTTATGATCAAGTGACGAGGGATTTATAGAAAATTAGTTACACCCTAAGACTTTGCCGTAGAACGCCCTCCAACCTGGGCAGGCCCCGTCTAGGCCCTGGATTAAGGTGGCCGCAAGGATTAAGGTGGCCGCAAAAAGTAGTTTTATTTATGTAGAAATAAATTAAAAGCAGTGTTATTCACATTTATTTTTATTTCACACGTATTCCTCTCAGTTTTTAACGTCGAATCAAATGAACTGAAGAATATCAATTGTTAAAAATTAACAAGAGCGTGTCGGAAGTAAAAATAAGTATGTGAATAACACTATCCTAAATAACGACTAGTGTGTTGGTGAGGTTGAAATTGTAAATGCCACATGCCACGGCCGGGTTGGATTCATTTGGAGCACTATTGTTTTTTTTTTTAAATGTTATTCTTACCATCTATTTATATCATCTCTCTAATAGAGATGAGACCCACACGCGTTGACGGATCATATTTCTATTTGACAAATAATATAAATAAATGATTCATTATTTTCGTTTTTATTAAAAGGGAATAATCTATATTGTAATACGTGATCAATTCCATCTTAAGATTTGGTAATAAAAACACAATTTGATGTGATCCATATGTGTTATATGGTCAGAATGAGGATCGTCTCCAGATCCTCTTTGTGAGGATCATGTGGATTCTCAAATCATGCATGTTCATCGTACATCATGCGGTTATAAATCATTTTAAATATTTTTATTTAAAATTAAATATGAATGGTACCTGAAAAAAATTGACCGCACGATATATAATAAACGAACACGATTTAAGGATCCTCATAATCCTTACAAAGAAATCCGAAAAGAATCCTCATTCATATGGTCAGATGGTTGGTTGCCTTATGGTGGCTGGCCTTTGGTTAAACCAGCAAAACACTTGTCTATTTTAATGATTTTTCTTAGGGGTGGAATTTTTTCCTGAAAATCCCGAACCCGTCCCGAAATTTGACCGAAAAATGGCTGAACCAAATTTCATTAAAAATTTAGTACCTGAAATCAAACCCGTCCCAAAAGTTTCGATTTGGGATTCGGCCATAGCTTAGAAAGTGTCTGGTAATCCCAAACCGAACCGAATATTATATATTTATTTATTTTTAATTTATAATTAGAAATTACTTGGACCGTTGGATTGGTTAAGATCTAATCCAACCGTCCATTGAGTTAGGTCATTTGTTATCCTCACAAGGTCTCTCAGTCGCTCGCTCTCACAGTCTCACAGTCTCACTCAATCTCCCGAACGTTGCTCTTGCTCCTGCCGCTCTGCTCCTCCATCGATTCGAGTCCCACTGCTCCTCCATCGAGTCACACTGCTCCTTCCATCTTCTGTCCACTTCAATGAAGCTCATCTAGCCGGCCACACACACAGAGACGCAGACGCAGGAAGACGTGAATCTGACACCAATCGAGTCCCAAAATCTAGGTAAGGGTTTCTGATCTTCAATGGGGTTTTGTTCTTTAGTGTTTAGGGTCAAATTTCATGGTGATTAACTTGATTTCTGAGTATTTTGTCGAATGTGTAAGGGTTTGAGGATTATGGTTTCGAATTAGGGTAGGTAAGTGCAGGACCTGCATGCCTTTAGAAGGTTAGGTGATCGAATTTGTGGGTTCATTCAAATTAAGATTAGGATGGGTAGGTGCACGAATTTGTATAATAAAATTATAGGGGATGGGGAAATAGGACCTGCATGAATTTTAGGGGGTTTCGGATTAGGGTGGAAAAATAAGACCTGCAACATGTCGATGGTGCACTTCTAGGTCCTCAAAATCTTGTACCAGCAACATTACAGAGATAAATATTAGTTTACAATTAATGGAATGTGCAATGTGCAATCTTCAGCTTACAATATTGAGTCCTGAAAAATGGAATGTGCAATCTGTGTTTAATATATATGTGATATATATATATATATATATGTTTATGGATTAGTTTATGGTCAATTTATGGATCAGAGATAAATATGTGTTTATGGATCATTTTATGGAATGTGCAATCTGTCAATTTATGGATCGATTTATGGTTATGATATATATGTGTTTGATCAATATATGAGATATATGAATATTATATATATGTTGAACTATGGTTGTGATATATTATTGTGCATTGTCAGGATGGACGGGTCTAATAGTGGTAGCCAATCACAATCTACTAGTACACCTAGGACCTCGGTTTTAGTAAAATGAAAGCCACAACACACTCAAACTGAATACTATGAAGATAATTGTGATGATGATCCGGATATGGATGCTGATATAGGGTTAGAAGAAATAGATGAAGAAATAGAGGAAAAAGAAGGTGAGGAGGATAGTGTTGAATTTGACATGCGGCAGATGCCTTTGATGGCCAATTAGCAAGTAGGGTGGGTCAACGGAAAAAAAGTAATAGGACTAAAGGGCCAAGTTCGGCGTGGAATGATGCCACTAAGGTAAATGTGACCGATGAATTTGGGATTACAACAGTTATGGTGGAGTGCAATCATTGCAAAATGCAAGTGCCCACGAAGTCTTCTAGACATGGGACAAATGGTATTCTTAATCATGTGAAGAAATGCTCGAATTTTAGTCTCTACGAGGCTCCAGATTCAAAACAACCATTGTTGTCACAAGGGGTGATAGGGGGTCAAATTGTCGCTCACACTTTCAATAAAAAAAGGCTTGATATGAAATGTGTGAAGTGGATAATAAAAGCGGAGATGCCTTTTAGGGCGATTGATCAAGATGGCTTTAGAGATTGGATCCATGACTTGATTCCAAAGTACAAGCTTCCAAATAGGCACAAGGTGGCGGCGGCAGTTTTAGAATTGTATTTTACAGAGAAGGAAAAAATCAAGGAGGTGGTTGATGGTTTGAGGGTGAGTATCACTACCGATACTTGGACCTCAATCCAAAATATTAACTACATTGTGGTGACATCACATTTTTTGGATAATGATTAGACATTGCATAAGAGGATCCTAAATTTTGTTCAAATTACGTCTCACGATGATCATAATATTGGGAGGTGTCTAGAGGTATGCTTGAATAATTGGGGCATAGACAATGTATTTAGCATTACCGTTGACAATGGTAGTGCCAATGACACCGCCATTGCATACATGAAGAGAAGGCTCAAGTCCAATGGTACTCTTTTACTTGACAGGACTCCCTTGCACATGAGGTGTGCTTGTCACATCCTCAATTTGACAGTTAAAGATGGAATGACGGAGCTTAGTCTTGAGATTGAAGGGATAAGGAATTGTGTCAAATTTATACACTCATCCCCTACGAAGTTGGAGACTTTTAGGGAGTATTGCATCTTGATGAGATTTGATAAGATGTTGAATATTCTTTTTGATGTTGTCACAAGGTCGAATGCCACCTATGAAATGCTCAATAGTACCTTCAAATTTAAGCAAGTGTTCTCAAGGATGGTGGATGAGTGCAACACTTTCATCTTTTACTTTCAAGAGGAGGTATCTAAAGAGATTAATGGGGTCACAACCAAGGTGAAACGAGTGGGTCCTTCGGTGTTGGAAGATTGGGAGAGGGCGGTGAGTTTTGCTCACTTTCTTAAAAAGTTTTATCATGCCACCTTGACACTTAGTGCAATCCTAACTCCAACTTCAAACTTAATACTCGGCATGATGATTGCATTGCAAGTGGAGATAGAATAAAAGATTTGCAATTCCTCTAATGCCACTTTGCAAGGTGTGGCAACTTCCATGAAGCTTAAGTTTGACAAGTATATTGGGGGGACATTGAAAAGGTTAACCCTATACTCTTTATGACTCAAGCACTCGACCCGAGGTACAAGTTTGAATTGTTGGAGGCAAGCCTAGAAGAACTCCGCTATTCATGTGAGGCAATCTTGGATGTGAAGACAAGTATTAAAAAAAACTTGACATATTTGTTTAAGGCGTATAAGGAGGGAAAGGTTTCTAGTAGTAGTGTTACAATGGATCAAAGACCAAGTGTTGTGGTAGATGATTCTTCGGGGTTGGAAGATGATGATGTTGCTACAAGAATGCAAAAGAAGATCCAACAAAAAAGAGCGACGGCCCAACAAAACGAGATATCCAATAAAGTGGATATGTACTTCAATGATCCTCACCAAAACTTAACATATGAGGGTTTCAATATTTTGGATTGGTGGAAAGTCAATTGTGGAACATATAGTAAGGTTGCTAAGGACATTTTTGCTCTTCCTAGTAGCACCGTTGCTAGTGAGAATGCTTTTAATCTTGGTGGGAGAGTTGTAGATCCTTTTAGAGCTTCCATAACACCGAGAACAGTTGAGGTTTTGGTGTGTACAAGTGATCGGCTAAGGGGGAATGAAATATCCTTCTACAAGAAGTCTACAATCGACGACCTCATGTTCTACAAGGAACTTGAATACTTGGAGAAGGGTAAGTGAAGTATTTGATTTCATGTTTTTATTTTCTTAGTTTTATAATTTATGCATTCACTTTCTAAATATATTTTGTGTTTTATTGTTTTTATTGTTTTAGAGTTGCCTAATATGGGAGGTGAGGAGAATCCCACACAAAGTGAAATGCCACTTCCTCCACCACCTCAAGTTCAACGCCGCCCATCACAACCTCTGCGACCACCCATTTCAAGAGCATCTACACCAACACAAAGAAGGGTTCAATTATCAACAAGAGAAAGGGGTCCACCATCAATGGCAACGGGTCATTCATTAACAAGGGGAAGGGGCCGAAGGGGCGAAAGGGAATGAACTTACTTAAGATTCATATTGGTTGCATGCACTTTTTTGCTTATAAACTAAGTTTTGCTTTTGGTTTGTAACTTAATCTAAATTCATTCGGAAGTTTGGTTTGTAAAACTTAACTTATTTCATTTTGGTTGCATGCACTTTTAATTAACTAGTTTGGTAGACAATTGTGAACGTAAGCTTAACTTGTTAGTTGTTACTTGCTTGGTATGAAAATTGAAATTATGAGATGAAATAGTGGTGAACTTTGATTGAATTGAATTTATGTGATTGTGAAACGGAAACAGGTGGGCTGCGGGCAGTGGGCTGCAAGCCTGCAATTGTTAACTTTTTTTATTTTCCTGAAAAATGAGTGGGCTTACTATTTAAAGAGATTAAATTGTAAGAAGTTTTAAAAAGCCCAACATTTTGGGCTTCAATGCCCAATCCTGAAGTGACCCGCAAAATCCGGAAACAGTTTCGGGAATCCCGAATTTCGAGAATTGAATAGTTTCGGTTTGGTTTTGGGATATAAAATCCCATCCTGAAATATTTTGGTTTGGAATTCGGGTTAGGNCCAGCATTCAATCTCCAAACCCAGCATTCAAACCTCCCCAGATATTTAAGCCCAGCTCCTTCTTTTTCCTGATAAATGAATGAGTTAATTTCCAAAACCCAGAACCCAAATTTTGTTTTCCACTATTTTGGACTAATTTCGCAAACCCATTTGTAATTTGGTTTTGGAACTCCAAAAATGGTCTCCAAAGGCGCCAACTTTGGCACATTTGTTTCAGTTGGGGTTTGGTTCTGTGCTGGGTGCACTTTGTGGAGTGCCAGGATGTGGGGGACTATGACCAAATTGACAACCCGGCAGTTCTTCCTCTCATCACTCATATTGTGTACGGACGCATCTCCAATGTCACTGCAGTTCTCAGCCGAGAAATCAGCAATCGTTCCAGCTTCTGTGTCAAGGACCCGTAAGCTGCTTTTTTTTCAACTTTACTATTTCCTGTTTGGTTGCTGAGAAAATTAAAATGCATGAAAGGAAAAAATGGGGAAGAGGGTTATTAGAATTGTGTAATGGGGTGTGAAAAGTCAACTCAAGTTGACTAATGGCAGCATTGATTTGCCCAGTTATACTGTTTTTTGATAATTTGTTTGTAGATATATTGTTGCAGTTGGAGTTTATTTTTGTGTTCGTTTGATGATCAATGACGTTATTTGATTCATATAGCGGACCCCACTTAGTGGGATAAGGCGGCTGTTGTTGTTGTTGTTGTTTGATGATCAAATTTGTTTATCAGGGAAGCCGATTGGAACGAGGCCTTTAATTTTCCTCCAGTGTGGATTTCTTAACTTCCTGCATTCAAAAGACTAAAGGTATAGAAGTACTTTTGTAATTAGAAAGAAGAATCAATTTTTACTATGTTTGGTTGGTTCTTCAGTAATGTAGGTAATCGAAAAATTGAAAAGATTACGCATAGGTTATGTATCTTGGCAATCGAATGTAGTATTTGCTTGGCTTCGTTTTGATAAATTTGTAATGTCCAACAGGAGATATTACCCGACGTTTGTGTACAGCAGCCGAAATGAAGTTCTACTTCAACAGTTTTTTTGAAAAATCGGAGGGTGCAAATTACTTAAGACCGAACAAGAACTGTAATTTGACCGCATGGATTTCTGGGTGTGAGCCAGGATGGGCTTGCAGTGTTGGTCCAAATAAGCAGGTTGACCTTGAAAATTCACAGGACATCCCAGCTAGGACTCAGAGCTGCCAACCTTGTTGTGAAGGTTTCTTTTGCCCCCATGGTCTCACATGCATGATATGTAAGACCTTTTAACCTAATATATCCAAGTAATCAATTTGTACTTTGTTTCTGTGCAACGTATTTTCGCTAATTAAAGGCTTTGTTGTTGTTGTTGAAAGGATGCCTCTGATTATTTCTTTGTTTTCTTCCAATTGCTATCGCGTTCTTGAAGCTTGCCCATCAGGTTCTTATTGTCCCCAAGCAACGCTGGACAAATCAACCGGTCTGTGTGAACCGTAAGTTCAGATTCTTGCTTTAATGATCTCTTGACTTACGGTGTTCAATAGCTTATTATGTGTGAATGTTATATAATGATATGTTTTTGCAGATACAATTACCAATTACCTCCGGGGCAACCAAATCATACTTGTGGAGGAGCAAATTTGTGGGCTGATGTTGGTAGTAGTAGTGAAATATTTTGTTCAGCTGGATCATATTGCCCAACCACCGTGAAAAGCATTCCTTGTAGTAGCGGGTATTGAGTTTCATACCTACGTCATTTATCAAACTTGTTCAATGTTTAGCTGATTGTGCTCTCGTTATTTCTTGTCTTTCCGATTGAATATTTTTTTCATGCATTGCAGGCATTACTGCAGAATGGGTTCTACATCTGAGAAACGTGAGTATAATTTCATTTTACTTCTCGAACAAAATTTTGATATTTTCCTGATCGCAGTGCTTTTTTTTAAGTGACGGTGCCCCATTTCCTTCTAACTCGATATTTGCTCTTTAGTTTATCCAGTACTATCGGCAAGCATAAAGAAGCTGACGTTTTGTTATTTTTTTTATATTCAGGCTGCTTTGCTTTGACTTCCTGCAATCCAAACACCGCAAATCAAAATGTGCATGCATATGGAATACTGCTAATTGTAAGTTGGCCATTTTAGTTCCTAAACCAAAACTTGACTTTTCATTTTCATAGCCGCATATGTGAGGCGCACACTGTTCATTTTAATCAAAGTGCGTATCAGATATACTTTCTGATTTAGTTTTGGCACAACTGAAATCAAGCAATAAAAAATGAATTGAAATTTATGCTGTTTAATTGCTTATGCAGGCAGCTCTGAGTACTCTGCTTCTTATTATATACAATTGTTCAGATCAAGTTCTCACCACTAGGGAGAGGAGACTCGCCAAATCCCGAGAAGCAGCAGCCAGAAGTGCAAGGGAAATGGCAAAAGCACGCCAAAGATGGAAATCGGCAAAAGATACTGCTAAGAAGCATGCAGGTGGATTGCAGGCTCACTTATCACGTACATTTTCTCGAAAAAAGTATAGCTCAGAACTTAAGAAACTTGAGATTTCAACTCAATCTAGACCTGACACAGATGATGACCTTTCGATACCACCACATCCAAGTAGATCTAGTGTTTCTCAGTCCTCAACTGTGCCATCAGAAGGAAAGGAAAAGGAACCACCGAGCTCATGCAAATTATGCGTAAAATTGAAGAAGACCCTGAGGGTTATGAAGGTTTCAGTATTGGATCTGAGGATACGAATGTAGGAAATGTGCCAAAAGGTAAGAAGATCAATACTCATAGCCAAATTTTCAAGTATGCTTATGGTCAACTTGAGAAAGAGAAGGCTCAGCTGCAAGAGTACAAGGACCTAACCTTCTCAGGGGTGGTTAAAATGGCCACTAATAACAAAATAAGGAAACGGCTTCTCATTGAGATTTCTTTCAAAGACCTAACACTTACTTTGAAAGCAAAAAACAAGCATCTACTGAGGTGTGTAACTGGTAAAATTAGGCCTGGCCGCATCACTGCTGTTATGGGTCCATCAGGGGCTGGAAAAACAACGTTTCTTTCTGCCCTAGCTGGAAAAGCAATTGGATGCAGGAGGACTGGTTTAATTCTCATAAACGGAAAGAATACATCAATCCATTCGTATAAAAAAATCGTAGGGTTTGTACCACAAGATGATATTGTGCATGGAAACTTGACTGTGGAAGAGAATCTATGGTTCAGTGCAAAATGCAGGTATATGCCACATTCACTCTTTACCGATTCCACTCTAACAGCAAATATGCTAGTCACATGTTCACCATCTTTGCTACTAATTTTGAAATTTGGTGTCATAGTTGTATTGTCAACCTGCTACCCAAAAGTTTGTTTGTCTTATAATTCTGTATATCAATCTTACTATATAG